TATGTTTATGTATAGGTATAAGTATATATATATATATACACCTGTATATGTATACGTATACGTGCATGTATATATGTGTGGTCAAGAGTTATCAGCCGCGAATTTGTGGCAAGCTGCAGTGAATCAAAGCCCTCTCCAAACTAGTCATTTGTTCGCTGCATGTGCGCGCTTGCCGCCTGCGTCCTTGCGTGCTCGCGTGCCGGTGTGCTGCTACGTGTGTTTGCATGTGTGCATGTGTATGTGCGTGTCTACGTTTTGCTCTTTGTCGTGTGTGTGTGTGTGTTTCTGTGTGTGTGTGTGTGTGTGTGTCTCTGCGTGTTTTGTGTGTCTGTGATTCGTTTGCCTTGTGCCTTTGTGTCTGCGTTTGTCTCTGTGTGCCTGTGTATGTGCGCAATGTCTCAGCCCGATATGGGCGCTGCTCATGAGATATGAAGCCCTATGGGTGTGTCTTTTTCCGGGACCTACCCCCCAAAAAAAAGAGGACAAACCAGAGAGGAATCGGAAAGTAGTTTCCTTTTGGTTTTGCATTAGAACCAGCCAACAGGGGCGAAGCTTGCACCAACTTTCCAGTTTGTTCTTCCATGCTTTGGATATGTTTCGCGTTTCGCATGGCTCCCTGCTGTGCACTGCCTCACCGTTGACAAGAGGTTCACACTCAGCAGCCTCAGGCTTCAACAATTTAGTTTCTTCAATGGAGCGTCGCTTCAGAGGCTTTTGGGGGTTGCTTTCGCGTGCTGCACACAGTGCTGTACTTTGCAAGCTTGCGTTTGCTGTGCTCTTGCGTTTGCTGTGCTCTCAAGTTAGTACCGGTCCTTTTGTTTGCCGAGAAGCCACACCAACCAGAAACCGAGGCATTTCCATTTTGGCGCGGTCTTTTATAGTGTGAGGCAAGGCCAACGGACATGGGCCAAAAAAACCCATTCGCAACTCTTCAGCGATTTTCCTTGCACCAAAAGGTGAACTTGGGGAACTGGTTTTGTGACTCGGAGTAGGCTGGCAGCAATTTCGGCACCGCCGCGACCGCAGGGCTCCCGGCGCTGAGAGTCGGAGGGTTTGGAGTGGGCGGAGTTCAAGCCGGGGCTTGTTGGAGTTTCTCCTCGGGCGCTTTTTTTTTTGGCCTGTGCTTTGGAGGGTAACTTTGGATTTTCGACCTTGGGGGGGTGTTTGTTCTTGTGGTTGAAGCTGATGGATTGCTGATGGATTGAGCCCTATTTCGTCGTGTCGTGGTAAGAGGCTTTCAAGCAAGGCAGCGCAAGTTGACCCCGGATTAAATTAGTAGATGTATAAACGTTGCGCATTCATAGGGGAAGGGGGCGGGAACACCCCCCGAATCGCTCTAAAGTGGGACAACCTCCCTACCAAGCAACCATGTTTTTTCAATGATTGGGTTGACGTGCGTTTCTAAAGGGCAGACCGGAACGCCCGTTTGTTTTCTGAGTCCGTGGCCCCTTTGCCGGGGTTCCTTTCCTGTCCCTTTTCACCGCATCGGAGAAGCTCCGTTCAGATTGGCCAAGCGGCCGCAGTAGAGTTCGGGGGAGACATGACAGCTTTGCAGGCAACAGCCACAGCCTCCTACGTGGCAGAGAAGACGCGGTGTCCGGGCCTCGGTCAGAAAAAGCGCGCATCATTTCTGAGTTCAGTGCCAGATGTGGCAGGTGAAGCTTATATATATATATATATGTATATATATATATATATATGTATTTTTATTTCGCCTTGTTGTGCAGAAAACAACCTTACAGTGCAAGCGATTGATTTTGTCAGTGAGGTTTCTGGGGTGATGTTAACAGGCTGACCATGTTGGAAGCTGCGAGCGCCTTGATGGATGAATCGAGTCACGGGGAACGCTCCAAGGGGCAAATCTGGCAGGGGCCTTTTCTTAAATCTCCAGTGGGCTCGAGTTTCATTCATTCCGATGGTGGTTGCATTGCATATGGGGTCCCAAAATGCGATTTTCCTTTGATTTCCCTTCCAAGCTGCAAAAGTGGGGGACACTCCTCAAGACAAAGCAACCTTGTGGATTTCTTGCTCATCATTTCTTGGTTGCGCATACATGGGCGTATGTCCGAATCGTCAGGCAAGCTCTTCGTGGGGAACTTGCATTCCGAGATCCCCAAGGAACGGCGCGGGTCTGAGCGTCCGGTGCACCGGTGAACCGGTCTGGATCCATAGGCTCGAGGCACCTTGACCCGTTCTCCGGACATTGGAGCCGCTTTTTCGGTCGCCAGGCGCCATGTCCACCCTTCGCCAATTAAATCGACTGAAGAGGCTGCTCGCATGCTTTATGCGCTCGCGGAGATGCTCAGGCTGAGCCAAGTCTTTGGAGAGTGTGGCCGGGTCGTGAACGTACACGCAGCCGCCTCAGCCAGGTTGTTGTTTTCTGGGCCTCTCATCATGTGCACCATGAATCAGCTTTTCTCCCTGATTGGCGATTCTGGTTTGGCTCCTGGGCTCTGTTGTTCAAAGAGCTTCAATCCCAAAGCACCAGTCATATCCGAAGCACCAATCCAGTGGCGGGCTGACTGCTGGCGAGCACTGATGTTTTCAGGTGATGACTGGCAAATCCAAGTTCGGCAGCGCGTGCGCCTTCGTTGAGATGGCACCTGCCACGTTTTATGTGGGGCGGGCGGCTTTTTGGGAAAGCGGGTGGCTTTTTGGCCGAGGCCATGATTTTTCTGCAAGTCCTTTGATTGCTTTGGTCTGTGGAGAAGGCCTCCCGTTGCCCCGTAGGCTTCATCCCAAGTTCGGATTTGGGATTTGATGTCCGCGTGGAAGCCAGGCTACTCCGTCAGAGGCGGAGCTTGCTTTGAAGGCGCAAGCCTTTAGACAGCTCCTGGAGCTTTGAAGGGGATCCCTCAGGTTTCCTTCTTTCTAGCCCCGGAGCTTCGCTGCAAGATGGACACACTGTCAAAAGAAACGAGCGAGCGCGACACAGGCTCTACACCAGAAGTACGAGCCAAGGACGTTTGATTGCGCACTTGCAAAGAGAGCTTCAATGCAACGGGGGCAAGTGCTTTTGATCGATCCGTGATTGTCAGTAGTTTTGGTTTCTTCTCTTCCCCTCCCACCGACTGGCAACCGACTTTGAGAACGCTAGACGAGCACAGCCCCGTGCAAGAAGTGCATTTGTGCCCGGCGCCGGTGGCGCCGGTGGCGCCCTTGCGATCCGATTTGCAGGATAGGATCTATGACAGCACCTGTCACGGTGACATACTTCCAGCCAGCCCGGCATGGAATTCGGAGAGTTCGGAGAGCACAGGCAATCGTTGGCAATCGCCAGTGCGTTTGCAAGCGCAAAAGGTCTCAAAGCAGTGGAAAGGCAGTCTGTGCCTCAGGAATGGCAAGCTTCGATCAAGTCTGTGTCAAGTTCGTGGGACAGGTATTAACCTTGCTGGCTCGCATGGAATCAGCTTTTTGCAAATGAACCGTTTGGGATCCCCGTTTGGGAAACCACAATGCATGCTTTTGTCGGGGGTCAGCGTCAAAACGAAGGGGGCGCCGCCTGTCATAATTCACGGAAGTGGCCGGCTGGTTTTTGGCTCACTAACAACGTTCGAGTTTACTGAAAAGAGAGGGACATCCCGAGTGATGGCCATGGCATAAGCCTGTAAAACAAGCCCCAAGAACGACACCCACCTTGGAAGGTTCGGCTGGCAATCATGGAGGTTTCGCTCGAAAACCCCCCCGAACAAGCAAAGTCAAAAGCCAGGTGCCTCACGTCAATTTCGAGATAAAACGCAATGTCAAGAACAACACAAGAAACGCAAGGACCGCGTTTCTCTTTTTTTTCTTTCTTGGGGTGGGGGGGGGTGCGTCGTCCTCCGAATCCGCGAATCGCCTCGAGGCTCAGGCCATGGGGGGGCCCACGCTGGGCGGGTTCCAGGGCTTCTCCAACCGCTTCGCGCCGCCGCTCGTCAGAACGGAGGTTTGGCGCCAGGGTTCTCCTTCTTGCGTTTGGACCGGTTTGGGGGTTTCCAGCCCCTTCTTTGGGTTTCCTCCGTTTTTTCTTCGTTGGGAAGCTCCCAGAAGTGGGCCTTTTGGTTTTGTGTTTGTTGCTGACGGGCGGAGTCTAGGCTTGACACAACCCACATTTGGCGGTTATTTGATGTGGTTTGCAACCTGCAAGCGGCTACTACCAGCTTGTTTTTTGCTTCTTGTCGTGGGGAATTAACGACCCAACGGGGCAACCTCATTGTGAGAGTGGGCCGTATGGAACTGTGTCAAAAGATTCGTGTGAGGGCAACTACCAGGGAAAGCAACCGTTGGGATAGCCCCCCATGGCTGTTGACAAGCCATGGGGAGATGACTCTGGTTTGCGATATGGAAGCCGCTGCCCGGCGTCTAGCATGCGTGTGAGTCAGTGACAGCTTGCGTGCATTTGGAAGCCACTGGGCAAGGTACCCGGCCTAGACTCAGCGCAGCAGCCCAAGTGCTTGCGGGAAAATGGGTGTAGGTTGCCACTTTCTGTGATACAAAGGGACTCCCCTAGATGAAAATCCAGCCGTGCTGGGAATCCCACCACACCATTGCCACGGCCGCATGCTTTTCCTTGGCCTTGGACATGTCGGAAGCTGATGGCTAAGGTCGCATGGCGATCTGGTCGAAAATGGTTGCGAGTCCTTGCCGAGGTTTTAGTCATATGTGCCATGGTCGAACGACCTGAGAGATGGCCAGGCACAAGCATTCTTGTTGAGGGAACAGTGACCCGGACCCACAAAAGAGGTTTTGACCATGGCACACTCGGCGCAGGCTTGGCGGTAGCTTCTTTCGGCTTGAGCGAATCAGGGGGCAATGACAGATCATGCAGCAATGCACAAGGATGTGACGAGTGGGAGAACAAGATCCACTGCTTTATGATACACAAGTCAGTCGGTCAGTCAGTCAGTCAGTCCGTCAGTCAGTCAGTCAGTGTTATTAGATCTTCATGCGACAGGGAGGCGATTCTTGAGACGGACTCAGGACAGATCGGCATCAAACCTGCTTTGTGGCATGGGGATGGCATGGAGATGCGTTCCAGAGGTCGTCGCAGGAGGGGGAAGCAAAGGCGTGGCTTGCTGGAGAAGAGCTAAAAGAGTGAGACCTTGGGAGAGGTACACAGGGCTGGGATAGGCATCAAAACAAACTTATTAGGGATCAAAAAACTTTTTAGGGATCAATAAACAACTTATTAGGGATCAACTTCTTCGAGCATCATGGGGGGGGCTGCCGCCCCCCCCAACCCCCGCGCTGATTTTCAGAATGTTTACAGAGATTACCTCACCCTTTGCTGAATCATCACTTCTTCGATCATCGTCACCCTTTGTTGAATCATCACTTCTTCGATCATCATGGGGGGGGCTGCCGCCCCCTAAGTTTTTTTGATCCCTCACCCCAGAGGGCTGGCGTGAAGATTTTTCCAGACGTCTTCAACCTTCTGGTACAAACGCCTTATGAGCACAAGGATTGGAACACGTGGAGCTGCGGCCAAGCTGATGAGAAGTGAATCGCCACACATGAATAGGGCTTTAGAATCGCAGAGGGGGGAGTTTCTGTTATCGAGGAACCGCTTTTTTGGGTGGTTGAAGGGGAAACCACCAGGAAACACTTTTTGTTGTTAGGGAGGTTGTCCCTGATTTTGAGACAACCCCCAGATGGCTCAGATCCTTTTGGTTGCAACCCTGAAAAGCTTGATGTTGACATAAGTCCCAAAAGCCCCAATGCGACTTTGAGCTCCTGGACCTCGCTTTTGGTTGCGCGAGAAAGCCTCTGAAGCTTTCTGGCTTGTCCTCTCACTTTAGTCGGATCGGTTTGGTGCCCTGCTCTAAACCAGAAACTAAGACAACCTCAACCAAAAGACCCAAGCAAGGCCTCAGCCCACGCTTCAAACACAATCAGCTTAAGCCTTGCCTTGCAACCGCTAAGCCAATTTCGCAAGCCCCACCTCCACCATAAGCAACACTTGAACATCTGCGCCAAGAAATTAAATCAACCTCAAACATGTTCCGCACGCAGATGCATACATATACATATATATATATATTATATATATATAGAGTAGTACACACACACACACAATCTCCTTAAAGACAAGCATGAACTGACTGCAGGTTGCAGTCTCTAGGGAACAAGTTGGAACATCACACAGAAGCATGTCTATCCAGGGCACAAAAGTACAGGAAGCAAATTGGAGTATCACAAACAGCATGAAGACACCAATTCAGGAATAATGGACCATGAGCTTAAGTTGGTTGGAGGACCTAACAAATTCCTGGCACAAAGTCGTTCTTTTGGTTTTCCCAACATTCAAGTCATGAATCTTCGTCTAACCCATCTTATGTCTGAACATTTGGGGGGACCGCTCCCTTATAAATGTTTTGATTTAAGGTAGTCCCCGAAGATCCACGACAGAAAGCCCAACAAACCATTGGAGGAATCTCCTCTACGGTTTGTTACATTTTCAGGGTTCAAGGCAACAAGGTTGGTTTTGGTTTCCATTTTCAGGTTTTAGGGGGGCAAAGTTTGGGCTTTTCATTCTTTTTGGAAGCCACAGAGCGAAACTCCAGCGTCAAAAGCGAGGACCTGGAACTTCCGGCGCTCCCTGGCCCGCTGGGCGACTCGCCTTTGCGGCGCCTGCGCAGGCGGGATGGGGAGGCAATCCGTTTGGACAGCGAAAACAAAAAACCGTCACAGGGGTCCTTTGATGCCGCTGCCAATTGGACAGTTTGTTTGGTGGGTCCGTTCTTGGTAAGGCCAATTAGAATCAGAACTCGAGCTTCATTTGATGGGGTGACGTTCCCTCGACATGGCCGGCATCTGCAGACTGAAAACCACACGTGCTCTTTCGCCTGGCACCTGAGAGGCGACATGTGTTCTGGGCCTGAAAGCATGGCCATGTGTTCGGTTTCCGGCTCAGGGCTTTCCCCAGGCTGGCCGGCATCAGTTGGGTGTGTCGGTTTTGTGAGTTGGTACTATGTTTTGGGTTCGAGGGAAACTTGGGGAGAGGTAATCACTGAGCCTACTGCCTCACTGGTCGACTGGTCTCCGATTGGTCCCGATGGGTGAGACACGGAGGATGTGCCACTGGCTGCTCCGCGCTGTCCGGCGGCGCCAGCGAGCCTCTGCCGGCGAAGGCATGGGACGATGGTCTTTTCATTATTTTGTTTGGCTCTTTTAGGTTTCTATCCTATGTCCTGTCCCTTACGCCCTTGCGAGAATGGAGCAGAACACAAGAATCATTCCAAGTGAGTTGGCAGTGGTACCATCTTGGGGTAGGTGCACCACCCCTTTTTGTCTATTTTAGTGGTTGGATTGGTTGATGTTCACTGGGGGTACGATTTGGGTTTTGACCCAGGGCCAGTTGAATCGCCGCTTGCTTGTCTGCGCTCCAAGAGCCAACTGAGTCCACCCTGACGCCTTCGCGTCCCACTGGCCCTTTGTCCACTTGCATGGGAAGGTCTTGTTTTTGCATCTTTGTTCCTTGGGTTTGCTGCTCAAAATTAAGGAGGACGGGCGGACTGCACGCTTGGATAATTTTCCCTTTCTTCTTTAGCAACGTTTTTTTTCTTTCCCCCACCGATGCGATGAGCAAATCTAAGGGTATGCTCTAGCCCGGTGTTTTCTCTGAACATCCGTATTCCTCTGTCCGAAAGGAAGGACAACGGGGAGATTGCCGCTAGAACAAGAAGAAAGGTGTTTTCCAAGATTGGGGGACCTGTCTCCTTGGTTGATTTCGGTTTCCGTGTCCCTGCTCAGAATGTTTGCCCAGATTCGACTTCCTGGTTTGCACCACGAGCAGGGGCTCCCTGAACAACTGGTTCACAGACACCCCGGGCCTAATGTTGGGAGCTCAGGCTTGATTTTGGGGTCTCCCCAAAAACGACACCTAAACCCGCAATCACAAGCTACTGCACCTCTCCCCACTTCGGGGTGACCTTGGAACGCGAAACAGGGACCTTCTCCTTGACATGCTTCCGGGTAGCCCATTTGGGTGCGACCTCTTTTTGAGGCTACCCATCGTGTTTGTTGGTTTTAAAGGGAACCCAAAAGGAAGACCGTTGCGCCACGTTTCGGGCGCCAAACCCTAAAACGAGACGCCGATTTCGGTCCGTTTCGAGCTGCGGCTCGCTCCGCTCCAGGCACCCAGCTCCGAGCAGAGCAAGTTCAGCGAGCTCTGGCATGGCGAGGAGCTGGTGAACGACGCGCCTCAGCCCGGGGCAAGCCACACGCGCCGTTTTTTTTTTTTTTCTTCTTCTTCTTTTTTTCTTTCTGGGATTCGGAGAAGGGGTGTCGGCCATTTTTCGGAGGGAATCCGTATTGGAGAGCTTTCTGCCCTTTGGAGTTTTTCCCGATAAAATGCCAAAGTTTTGCTTGGCGGTCCGCCTGGATCCAGTTGAGTTTTTGCGTGGTTTGTGTCGGGGAAAAAGAGGAAGCTGCAAAACTTGGCTATCCAGGTACCCTTTCTGCGGGAGGGTATCCGGAAGATCGATTTCCGACCTTCTGTCAGTTTTCATTTGGGAAGGAGGGTAGTCTTTGCAGACTGAAGCACTAAAATGGGTCTCTTTTTTTTTTTTGGGGGGGGGGTTATCCCTTTTTTGGTGGTTTTAAAGGACATCCAAAAAAACAACAACACCCACCTGTTGTAGGGCGGTCCCCCAAACGAAGGACGACACCCGAGCTACCGCTCAAGGTGATCCACCGGCTGTGGCCCTCGATCTCCGAGTGGTTCCGGCGGAAGCTCAAGGTGCGGAAAAAGGAATGTGCTGGGGGTGCAGAAGCCTTTGGGTTTCGCCACAGAAAGGCACCCAGCAAACAGAAAACTGAAAAAAACAACTTCTTTGGTCTTGCCGTAAATTTGTATAAACCTACTTATACATATGTATATGTGCGGGTGTGTTGCTTTTTGGAGTGTTCTCCTTCCAACTTGGAGTTTGTTCATGTGAAGCCAAGCCACCATTGTTTTGGGTTGTGTGTTCCGACATTGTGATTCAAGCTTGCGAAGCACAGCGGACCGCATGAGCTATGACCACAGATAATCACCAGAATGACTCGCCGACATGCAATGTCAGGTTCCACAATGAATATTGTTTGTGTTTCCTGCGTTTGATATCTTTCAGCCAGCGTAGTCTGAGACTATCGTGGGCAACAAGAGAGTTTAAGTTGCTTCGTTTTGCGCCCGTATTGGTGGCAATGGTACTTGATCAAAAAGCACAAGAGCATATATGCTTGTGTGGTAAGGCACGCACACTATTCCACATACAGATGCATGCAGTTGCGCATGTCCCATCCATAAGTCAAAAGCGTCGATCTGTACTTGACAGTCATAGCAGGCCGAGCTCGAGCCAGAGCTAAAGAAGCAGTTGCTGGACATTGTGGAGTTTGAGGACGGCGTTGGGAATCAATCTCTTGACAACTGTCGTGCGCCAAGATAGGTTCAGCAACTCCAGCAAGCTTCCACCCAGAGTCCCACACAAGCAACCGCAGCCACCTTTGCTCGGCGCGACAAAATTGGGTTGAGGTCGAAGTTTCGCGGGGTTTGGGCCCAAGCGGGCCCAATAGCTGCAGAGATCTATCCCCTCCAAGTGTCGACAGTCAGCTGCAGCGGTTGCAACTGGAGGCCGCCCAGCCCGGTTTGCAGGTCCCAGCCCAGAGCGGAAGGCTTTTGGTGCCGCCTCGAGGAGCAAAAATTCTGAACTATCCCAGGTGCGGGGGGCCGAGTTTAGGCCTTGGGCCAGCCTGACGGCTTCCTTCGCCAGGATCTGGGCCTGGGTACCGCGCCCATGCGCCTCGAGGGCATCACGTCTTCCATGTGCACCGAGGATCACGGCTGGGAAAAATGGGGGGCGAAGCGGAGGTGGGGACTTTGGGGTCGCACCTTACAGAGAAAGCCACTGGTCCAGAGTGCCATCAATATACACCCTGGGAATGGTGGTTGCAAGGGAACCCCCCAATACCAATTTTGAGAACCCTCCTCCTGGTTGCACCTCGGGAAAGGGAAGGTGGTCAGGGAAGAAGAGAGGCCAAAGAGTGGTATTTTGGTTGCATTCTAGCCAACCCCAAAAGGGCATCTTCAAACAAAGGCACTCACTTTGTTGTGTTAAATCATTGCGAAAGGGTACCCTTGTGGATTGTGCCAAGGGGGAAAGGAATCATTATGAACATGGCGTCCCCTCCCCATTTTCATCCGAAAGTGCCTTTGATGTGAAGGAATGGGACGACAACGTCCTGAAGGTCATCAAATGCGCTGGAGATTTAGAGCCTTCGACTGGACTTTGTGCGATGATGTGTGGATTCTGTGGCTGGTGGGCACCCTGGGGATTTACGTTTCGCCATTTTGGAAGGGGTTCCCTGCATTCCATAGTCAGCCTAAGTCTATGTGGGGAATGGTGCCAAAGTGTTTCTCCCGTGAAGCTTCATTTCACATTGCTCGACCTAGCTTGCCTTGTGAACTTTTGCATTTTGGTTTTCCTTCATTTGGGTATGGGTCAAAATTCAACCACCTGGATATGGACCGCAGGGTGCCTATTTTTGAGCCACACCCGTGTACCCCCAGCGTCAAAGGGACACTTGGCCTCGCTTCGCTGAGATCTCAGGACTACTCTGGCGATGGGGAGATCACAGTGGGCATTCGAGCTGGTCGAGGCTTTGAGCGTTATCGTTAGTGAGGACCCAGGATTAATAAACCCTTTGGAACGGCAGAGAGGTGTCCTATATTAGAGGGAATTCTGCACTTTTGCGGGAATGCACTCCTTGTTACGCTAGGTTGATTTATCTGCGGCCAACATTGCTTGCTGCTTGAATGTCGAGGACATGTGGGGACCACCCCAACTGCCCACACAAAACAGTCGAAACAGGCCCCACGTTTCCAACCAATTGGCTCTCACAAGTGTTGGCACAGGGGACAACTGGGTGGACGATGGGTTTTCACTACCCCCAAACCACTATTCCCAAGGGCAATGGTGTGTATACATGTATGTATGTATATGAATGTATATATATATACACATATATATATATATAGGTATACAAGGAATTTTGTATGTATGGGTGTTCTGTCAACATTGGGGACCCCTCCAGTACATGGTTTCCATTTACAATTCGTCGAAAAAGGGGTCTCCTGTTTCGAGAACCCCCGCATATACAACATACATACATATATATATATATATATAGGTACCGTGGTGCTTGGTACCTATGTTCCCCTGGGTCCCGGCGGGCGAGTAACAAATTATGGGATCAATGGCCTGGCAGGTGGCGCCATGGGACGTGTGGTGCTCACGGATCTCCGGTTGAAGGGGAAGATCGCGGGGGGCCTCAACGAGCGAGCGGCCGGTTTTGGCGGTTCGAGCGATTTCGCGGCCAAAGCGGAACGAAAAAGCGGCGATTCTTGGCCTCGTGGCCTGGCCGTGTGACTTGATCTGCCCCAAATTTCAAGGCACTCAGTCGAGGTTTTGGCCCGCTTCTCCAGAGGTCCTTGAGCTGGCACAGCTGATCCCAGTGGCGCCCTGGTTCACCGGGGTCCGCATCTACTTCCCGGATATGCCGCAGGCGAGATAATTTTGCCGGCGTACACGCGGGTTTGGATTTACCCCCCCAAGCGTTTTGGGGCGGTTTGGCAGGAAATGCGGCGGTTGAACACCTACCCCATGTTCTGGGAGAATTATGATAGCTATCCAAAATCTACATGGACCGGGGGTGCTCGCAAAATTGACAGGTTTCCTATGTTGCTGAGCAAAATACAGCGTGGCGTCATAAGGGAATTTAGTTTGCGGCAAGATCACTAAGTTGAAGCTTCATTTTTTGTGGATCACACTTGTTTTTGCATATGGCCCGAAAGCCGTGCTCGACGGCGTGCTCGTTTTGCGCTGGGCCCGTTTGACTGAACCCGCAATGATAAGCATCCCCGCTCGACGGCGCACTTGCTCGACCCCTGGACGGCACACCTGCTGGACTGAACCTAGACAACACCCTTGAGATCCCCCAACCCTTCAGTTCTCGTGGTTTGTGTCCCTAGACCAAACATATTGGGGTGTACGTTTTTCTGTGAGGGCTCCTTTTCTTGGGTTGGTCAACAGGGAAGCCAAAAGGAGAATTCACGTGGCCAGGTGGACCTAAACATCGACGCCAAGGTCTTTGTGCTGGACGCCTTTTGCGATACCGCGGCGCTGGTGAAGACCAAAGTGCTGAAGGCTGACACCGAAGCGTCGCACCGGCCTTCAAAACCATGTGTTCTTTTTTTCCCCCGAGGCTGCCAGCATTTTTGGCTGTTTTGGAAGGAACACCAAAAGGGGAACCATCGGCCTGTTCTGTGCCTTCTTTGAGTTGCCAGCATTTTTTGGCTGTTTTTGAAGGAACACCAAAAGGGAACCATCGTTTGTTTTTAGGGTGTCCTGTTGGTGAGAAGAAAGAAAACAACTCTGCAAACTGGCAGCCTCGGCAGCCCCGGCAGCAGGTGCTGCGCGAAGCGGTCGCCAGCGTCTGCGTCCTGCCATCGCGCCTGGTGCTCGAAGCCACCACAGGCACCGAGGGAAGCGCACGAATCGGTCGGGGATTTTCCCGATACGTCCCGCGAGCTGCTGGCGTTTTCATTGAAGCAGAGATCCTGAGCTCAAGTCCTTTCTCCGTGGAAACTGCGGTTTGGCTCGAAGGAATGGGAAGGAAACCACAGGTCGGTTTCCTTCTAGCAAACGGCTGTGGGTCAAAATGACACCACCAGGCTATGGACCGCAGGTGTTTGTCCTTGTTTCCCTTCGCCAGGGCAAGCCATGCTGGGGTTACCAACTACTTTTGACAACCGCGCCCCAAATTGGGGGAGCCCAACGCCACGTCTCCGAAGTCCGCGACGGCCGCGTTTCGCCGCCGCCTGTTCGCCGCACCGCGCCGCCAGTCTTCGATCACTTTCGCCTACATCACCCGCGGCCTCAGGGAGTTCTTCGCGCACAAATCCAGGCCGGAGGTCGGAGGTGGGAAATGGATGGACTACACCCTGCAGTTTTCTGGTGACTACACCCATGGTGGGTGTGGCTCGAAATTAAACAGGAGGGGCAAACCGCAGGTTTTGATCCATGTTTTCATTTATCAGGGTTCCATTTTGGAATTCCGGTTTTAATCATGTACCAAGATGGCACTTGGTAAATGAAACCAAAGACTAAAACCTGTGTAACCCTGGCTCTTTATTTTTGAGCCACAGCCACATGGACTAAACCCTGCAGTTTTCTGGTGGCTTAATTTTGGCCCATACCCATGTATTTCTGGTCGGTTGGTTTGGGGGACGAGCAGGGCCACTGGGATGTCCAAAAAAGTGAAGGGGAGAACCCTGAAACAACCCCGTGTCCTCTTACACCAAGACGCATATTTTATCCCGCAATCATGTGTCGAAGGTTGAGCTGAGTTGACCCCTGCAAAAAAATGGATTGAGTTTTGGCTCCCCTGTGAAAGCCGTCCTGGCCACATGTGGGGTTTGGAATGATCAGACCGTAGAGTGTTGTTTTGTGGATGAGCATGTCCAAATCCACCACACCGCATTGGATCATTGGATACTCATACAATGGAGATGACTAGCAATGACATGGGCCATTCAGGCCGTACCATTTGGCTAGGTGCAGATTCCGCCGGTAGAGACCACAGAATCTTGGACTGCAAGCTGCACTTATGGATGCCCGATGTGTGCAAAGAGCATGTGTAGGCCTGCTTTTGCGCAGCAATTGGGGAACTCGGCCCAACAGTAATTTTTCGTGTAAGCCCAGAGACCCCTTTGATTCCAAGTGGTCAAAGTTGTCACAGCTTCGGTCAGCATTTGCCGTAGTTGGGGTCAATTTGGGGGTTTGGGACGTCGATGCACTCCCTCCCGTCTTCATTCGGGCACATGGTGGCAGGGCGATGTTGCAAACCTTTAAGTACCTGGGCAAGGAGAAATATTGACCCATGGCCAAAAAATGTGCGTTTCTGTCAGTGCCTGTCATGGCCAAAAAATGGGCAAGGATACATATTGACCCAGTGGAGAGTCAGCGGGCGTTTCTGTCAGTGCCTCGTCCCAGGCCCAGAACCCCCCAGCAGCCGAGGCGCCGGACGCCACAAGCTCGGCCTGGGGAGCGCTGAACTCCTGGCTCTTCACGTCGGCCAAAAGCACCACGGACCTGACATCCATGGAGGTCCGGCTTCGCGTGTGGGGTTGGACGCGCTGAGAACGGGGTCGTCTGTCTTTTGTTTTGGAGGATTCGGACGCTCCCTCAACCAAAAGAAAAGAAGAGGTATACATGTCTCAAATGGTTTGTTCCCTTTGATTTCCCTTTTGACACCCCGCAGGGGATCTCTTTCTGAAAACCCAATCTGGCGGGTGATCAAACATGGGGGCTTTGCACCCAATCTGGTCGATCTCCCAAAGTAGAGGCTTCGGTTTGCCCTTGGCTTCCCTTCGAAGCAAGCACCAACAGTTTGAGTCCAATCCTCAATGCTTCCCTTTGTGGGTTTGTGTACAATGGAATTCTCCCAGAACAGTGGGTTCCCTCCAAAAAACACGTGCACAAACTAAACACATCCAGATTTCAGACCCTTTGGTGACCCTAAAAACCATTACACGGGCCTTCTTTCAAGTGGAGTGATGTGTTTTTTGGGAACTACAGCTGGCAGCCTCTGGAATCCAACGATTGCTCTTGTGTCACGTGCCATTCTCGAAACTTAGAAACACGGACCAGGTGCCGTCGATCGGGGTGCCGATCTCACAAATCACCCCTTCTCCTTGAACACGGCGTTGGCAGGTGGCGGTGGGTCAACACCAATGGTTCCATTTTGAGGTAGGTGCACCACCCATTTTAGTCTATTTTAGTGGGGATAGGGATGTTCACTGGGTGTACGATTTGGATTTTGACCCATGGCCAGGTGGCGGTGGGTGGGTGCAAGAAGGCGTGCGTCTCGGGCGATGTACTGGACTTTGTGGTTGACGACCTCCAGCAACAGCCCGGAGCTCCGATCGGGCTGGGGATCGGGTTGCTTTTGCTTGTGTTGAAAGGGGAAAAAGAAACAGATCTTACCTTGGGTGGTTCAAAATCCATCCCCAAGGTATGGCGGATTAGCTCCATATGAACAAGCCTTGCTCTCCCACCTGGACCCAAGCCTCTGTCGTCTCTATGAGCTCGTCGGGCCCCTTGAGGGCTGATGTTTTGGGAAAATGGGAAGGGGGTCAGCGGAAGGTAGCATTGCTGAACATTTTGGCTGGACGTGCATCCCACTCAAGTTCCCACTCGTACCGCACATGCTGTGACTTCCTGTGAGTGTTTTTGGAGTGGTCGAAATACAAACTGCTGGACACCTTGCAATTGGATTCAGATTGCCTTCTCCCCAAACACACACACACACAAACACATACTCAGGACGTCGGCGAGCAAAGCAGTATATTACCACGAATTTGATTTCGGTGCATTTTGGGGAGGATCCGGGCGGACCACCCAAACCAGATGAGCCATGGGTCATATTGTCCGTTGCAGCGCTTTGGTCAACACACTCTTTCACTTAGCCTCAGGGATTGTAGACAACTTGTATAATCATTCGTCTTGATTCTGTTTACCAAGACATGTCGCCCAGGTGCTTGAGCATCTTTTCCAATGGCAGCAACTTGGCCCAAAGCTCGTACCGAGCGGCGCTTTTCGAGAGACGACTTGAGGCGAAGTGCCAGTGGCGGTGGTGGCGTTGAAGGATGTGGCGCGGGAGCCTTCAGGCCGGGCTCAGCTTGGGCCATCCAAATCGGAAAACGGGCATTTTTGCGCTGGTGTTTCGCGCATGCGGAGTTCGGGGGTGCTAGGTTTGGGGAAGGCCTTCTGGCAAACAGGCCAGCGCATCCGCTTGCGTGGTTTTGGATGTGAGGCGTTCCGGCGCCGGATGAAGACATGTGTGCGCCCATGGGTGCCGCAAGACCGCAAGAGAGCTGATGCCCCAAGTTGTGATGCCACCTGGACTGGACTTCCCCAGTGACTAATTCTTCAACCTGGCGAAGATTGTTAGGGTATCACGGAAGTCGGAAGCATGTCCACGAAACTGTGGCATGACCGTGCTCGCAGAATTTCCCAACACCGATTCCCATTTTGGCCGCAGGAAGGCTTAAACTAGCACCTGGGTTTGGAATCCGAAGCCAGCTCTGAGTTAGGCATGTGTCTTCGAGCACACCCTGGACATTGGACAAGCCTCCTGCAACCTGCAGATGCAATGGTCTTCAGCCCAGCGTGACCGGGGTGGACTTACTAGGTTTGGTTGTGGGTCTTTTTGAGGGTACCCTTTGAGGGGTTGGTTAAGGAAAACCAAAAGGACACCCACCATTTCCGGTGCCCATGTCGCATATGTTGACCGCTCAGATGCAAAATTGAGACTGGGATGCTTCGAGTGTCTCACATTTCTACTTTGTCCTGAAGTCCAAGTTGAGCTTCTCCGAGTTGCGGCTCAGTAAAGGGGACAAAGGGCGCGCATCACGCAGAGTAACCAGCTTTGTCAATCGCAGTTTGCACTCATAGCCATGGGTACACCATGAGGAGGGGGACCACATCTCTTGAGAGCGCTCTTGATGTTCACAGCTCTTTCATCAGGGCTCCTTAAAAGATACATTTCGCCCATTGGAAACATTGTTTTTTCCACCAAAATAAAGAGACACCACCATTTACAAGGCAATGTTCAGGTGTATAATGTAAGGATCCCTGTTAATAGCATCGTCTGAGGCTTTCACCTCATAGCAAGCTGCGTCCGGCCCGTGCCATGGCAAGATGCCGCAGCATAGCCGGCCGGGCAGCGTCCTCAAGAAGCGGGATGCCACTTGCCGGAAGTTGCCAGAATTCCTGGGTCCAAGGGCTCGACCGTCTTGGGCTTGGCAAAAAGTCGCTTTTGGGGTTGGCGTTCAAACCACCAAAGTTCAGAGGATGTTTTGAGGACGGCAGTTTTTCATGGGCACTGGCTTGTTCCATCAGCATGTTCGCAAGTTGGTTCATCTTTTCTTGCCGGTTCTCAGGGCCTAGAGACCATCCCCTGCGATTCCCTTGGAGGGGATCCCAAGTTCATTTCCAAATCTGCATGAGTCCCTACAGCAAACCGGAAAGTTTTTCTGGCCTCAAAAGCTTGAACATTGATTGACCACTCAGTTGGGCAGGTCACGTTTTGTTGGCAGGTTTGTAAACACGGGCGACCTTTTTTGCGCCAACCATGACGCCCTCGCCCAAACACAACCCCATCGCGGGAAAATAAACATAGACCACAACTGTAGCCGGGGTTGGTAGTGATAGCGCAAACCCGCTGGGATAATTAGCTTTGGCGATTCATTTTGCTTTGGCTTTGACTGGTAACTCAATACATCAATTCTAGAAAAGTAAATAAGTAAGCAAACCAAGTACCCCACCCTTTTGGGTCTCCCACCTGGGAGTTTCCAATGGAGTCTCTGGTTTGATTGCCCAGTTTCTTCCTTTCACAATAAAGAGCCCAAACCAAGGTGTCCATATCCTCAATTCCTTGCTGGTTCTCAGCGGGGGTGGAAATATCGACCCAAACCTGCGGTTTGCCCCTCCTGTGTAATTTTGAGCCACACCGATGTGAGTCGAGCGCATCGAGGTGCACTCGCGGGCCAGCGACTGCCGGCTGTCGCCGCCTCTGAGCCTGGCGCGCGCCCCCACGCGCGCCACCTGCGCCAACTCCGCGTGGTCCTCGCGGCCCAACACCGCGCGGGCGCAGTCCAGGGAGAGGAATGAGACCGAAGCAGGCCGGGGAGTGGTCCTTGGCCGCTGGGCTCGTCCTTTTTTTTGGAGGCTCGGTGCCCTTTTGTTTGTTGGTTTCAAAGGGAACCAAAGGACAACCAAGCATGTTGTGGGTCCCCACCCTTACAAAAGACATGCCCATGTGGTTGCTAGTATAAAAGCAGGTTGCCTTGTGGAGTGATGTTTAAAGGGGACATTTAATTAACCTTGAGCTCACGATTCTTTTGACGGGTTCCTCGTTTTTGGTCGAATAAATTGGCGCGCCTCCCAAAATTAGGGGTGCAGAATGAGAGGGGGTGGTGTCCTCTTCGTTTCTCTCAGAACCATCCAAAGGAGTTACCTTATTTGGATGGATGGTTCCCAAAGTATAGAGCCCACAATTTGGGAGAGCGGAGCCCAAGTTGCTGGATCGCCGCGTGAATTTTGCTGGCCATTGATATGAAATTGTTTAACCTTTGGAGGTTTCTCATTGCTTCTGATGCCGGATTTGCTCGATCGAGGCCATATGACACAATGTTGCAAGGTAGAAGAAGGTTGGGAGAACAACATAGGGGACACGGTCGCATTGACTGTTTCGTAATGAGCCCTTATGTTTCTGCGAAGACCGAGGTGTTGACAGACTCTGGTGAGGTTCATTCCAGACCAATCTGATTGCCTTGGTTGCTCAGAGGGGACACCCAAATGAGCCAAGTCCAAAGGTCATAACACCCCGAAGGTTGGTCTGACCTAAGGACTGCTCCTTTCTACGCCTGTTTTGTCCTTGACGCATCTCCTTCTCAACTCATCGGGGCAGTTTGTTTTCTTCCCCAAGCCAAAGGGTGAAAAAGGGTTTGTCTCGAAAATAGGGGCAGCCTCACAATTTTCTAAGCCGTTCTCTCGAAAATAGGGGGACCCTCAATTTTTGTGTGTTTTTCTCCTCGCGATTTTTCGTTTCACTTGGACCGAGCCGCCGGAGCGACCGAGCCTCGAGCAGATGGATGCCAGGCTACAGCCTGGAAAAGCTGCCGGTGGCGCGACCCCTGCGCCTGGAGAGCCTCTGCCTGTTTCGGGGGTTTTGGGGGAGCTGGTGTTTCCCCCTTTCTTGTTTCTCGTGGTTTTTCTCTGGGGCTGGCTTGTTGTTGGGAGTGGGTGCCCCCTTGTTTTGGGTGGCTTTTGAAAAGGAAGCCCCAGAATGAACCCCCCCCCCGCCTCCCATTTTTGGTGGTTCTCTAAAAAAAGACGAGCCACCCATGTGGGGTGTAGAAAGAACTGGACTGCCCTTGGTGGGGAGTCCACTTGCCTCCATTTCGCTCGAACCGAAAGGAACCCCAGAGTGCCACTGGGTCCATGGCAGGTTTGGGGATTGTGGACCTGTTCTTCAGGGCAGCCAAGAAGAAGCCGGGGTCCCTATAAACCATCCTGACTAATTCCTTTGAGCAGATCCCACAAAGCGATGGGCTGCCGAGAAATAGCAAGTCATGTTGACGGATTCATCATTCATCAACCTGGCGCATGAGTGTAGCTTGCTTTACCAACCAAACTTTGGGGGTCAACCAATTTTTTGGGGTCAACGCGTGGGAGTTCCAAGGCTAGAGACTTTGGTTTTGAGTGGCTGGGTTTCTCTCCGGACGGGCGCGCGCCAGCGGGTGCACTTCGAGGAACCAAAGCGCGGAGCTCATCGAGGACTTGGAGCGCCTCAGCGGCCGCAGGCCCAAAGTCGCCCTGGCGGAGGAGATCATCCACAAGGCCAACGGCAGGCCGCTGCGCCGTGAAGGGGGCCGGGTGGGGGCCGGAAGGGGGCCGGATGCGGGGCATGCGGAGGGATCTGGGGGAGGGGTCTGGGAAGAAAAGAAGGGGGTGTGGGGGTGGTGGGAGGTCGGCGATGGCGAAACCCAAAACCGTGGTGGTGCGATTTGACGCGGAGGAAGAGAGGAGCGAGGTGAGCGAGCCTTCCAAGTTGAAGCTTGATGGGATGTCCTGAATTTTTTGGGTTGCAGTTTGAACATCGATGATTCCTGTTCATGTACCAGAGCCGTCTCTGTTTCCAAAAGGACGCCTGGGCTTTGCAGGGGTTGGGGTTGGGACTCGGGGCTGCGGCTGGAAGGCACGGGCGTTTTGTGAGTGTGGAGACGAAGCTTCCTGACTGCTTCACGCCTTTGGATTTCGAGTTTCATCCTTCCAGTCACAAACAGTTGGCCTGTTTCTTTCGTAGCCTCGAAAACATCTTGCCGGCCTGAGACCCGTGTCAATCGAGCTCCAGCGACTTGGGAAGGAGCCCTCTGGTCACTTACGGCAAGGGGAACGAAGAGTTTTCACGAGGCAAGCAACGAGTCCGGTGGAGCAACAAACGAAAGTAAGACCCACCAGCCGAGAGAGTAACACCAAGTATCTTGGTGTCAGTGTCGTGTAAGTGCTACGCTTGGCCTGGCGATTCTCTGCTCTGAAAATTAACATGTTCCTCATTAAAAGGAGGTCCTCGTTTCCCAACAAGAGATTCGGGTTTGGAAACCAACATGCACAGCCTCTACCGCGTTCTGTGGTTTATGAATCAGGCATGCCTCTTTGGGACTGCAACAGAAAGGGAAGCCAAGACGCAGAATAGAAGCAATGGCGAAAAAAGGGCGCTGTGACTTTTCACAGGTGTTGCCGGATTCGTTTCGTTCTTTTGCACAAACAAAGCACCAACAGGACCCGTTGCTACGGGCAAATATGGGCAAAACCTTCTATGACTTCTCATGGCTACTGATGTTGGTGTGAATTCCTCTGATGTTGGCAAGCTTTGCCAGCATCGCTCCCAAGTTCAAACACGGTCACCAAGCCACCGGTGCGGTCTTAGGCTCCAGCCTCCCGCCCCAGCCGCCGGGCCGCCCGATTTCCCGTTCCCCGCAGGCTGGAGGACTTCTTGAGCTGCGAGTCCCCCAAGAACGCGAAGCAGCTCTCCCGGCGCTTCTCGGAGCTGCAGGACAGCGAGCAGCTGCACTCCAAGTTCTCCGAGCTGGTGAGGCCCGGAGAAGCCCACCGCCCCGCCATGGATGGGGGCAAACAACCGAGGGGTGTGGCTCAAAACAGGGGGCGGGCCCCTAAGAATGGTCCTTTTCGTGTTCAATTAAAAGCAGAACAACGTACCCTAAAGCAATATACACAGCCTCATATTCTATTGCACAAGCAGTGCCTGTATCGGTGGGTTCCCCAACTGAAAGCGGCTTCTGTGAGGGGTTGGGGTTGGGATACCACCTGCGAAGATTAGTTGGGGGAGTTTGTGATGTGCTTTTTTGTTTTTGGGAGGCTTTTGAATTTAGATGGACATAATTTTGTCCACCAACCATTTGGGAAGGTGTCTGCAATACATGGCTGTGTCATTTGTTCAGGTTTTAAAGGGCAACCAAAAGTGGAGCACTTGCGCCATTTTGGCGGGTTCCGAATCCCAAAAAGACGACGAGCCAAATCCCTTGAACTTGGCTCAGGAAGATCGACCAGGCCTTCAGCGGTGGATCCGTGGCGCTACCGGCGGTGACGCTGCGCCCGGGCTCAGTACTGGAGGAGATCCAGTCGTCGAAGCCGCTCGTTTTTGTTTTGTTTTTGAGGCTGGGTACCGTGTCAAACCAAAGGGAAAGCAGTTTTTTTGTTGTACGGGATGGGAGGGAAGTTCAACCGAATCTTCCATCTTGGGTTCACAGAAGTAGCTGTTTGACACATACTCATGTGCCACATGTGCAGAACTCGATACACCACTCCACACAGTTTCTCTGTTTCAGGGATGGGAAGGACGTTCATAGAAAACACATGTCAGTTTTACCAAATCACCGAACACGTGGAGGGTACCATGTTCAACCCAAACAAGCCCAGCGCATTTTCGGGGTCCAAATCCCTGTCTTGACATACCCACAACTTGTTTCTTTGAACTAGAGCCGCGCAGCAAGCCCTAAGTGCGCCGGTCATTTTTGGCTGCTCGCCTGAAAATCGCGCAAGTCCTCGACGTTTGCTGTCTGGTCTTCAGCGGCCCCTTATTTGTGGATCCCACGCCGGGTGTTTGGCGCTCGCCATGTTGGTTTTTGGTCAGGGGAGACTGCTTATGTTGACTGTGGTTATTTGCACCCGAAAACCAACGTGCAGAAAAGAGGCTCCCATTTGGAGAACAACAAGTCCAAGAAAAACACAAATTGGATGGCCTGCCCAACAAGCCCGGATTCCGTGAAACGCGTTGTACGGTTTATTCTTTGGGTAAGTCTTCTTGAAGAGACTCCTTGCCAAGTAGATTCCTTGGAATTCTCACGCTTTGGTTTTGGTAGACCCCTCAAATACAAAGCTTTGATTGTGATTCGGACGAGCGGGTTCCATTTGTTGGGCTTTGAGCATGACTCATAGATTTTCAACAGCCCCTTTTGAAGGAAAACGGAAACCACACCCAGACCTCAGGCGAAACCCTGCCTTTCTTCGCCTCTTTGAGCGGGTTTCGCTTTAACATCACAGCACCAAAACGGCGTTTCACCAACCCAGGAAATCCTCCAGTGCATATCCCCTTTCCATTTTTCGCAGGGTTTTGTCTTCCAAGTCCATAGGGGTACAACAGGTCACAACTGGTTTTCGTGAGGAGACGCTGGATGCCAAGTCCACGCTGGCAGTGACCATCCCCCTGCCCCGACGCCGGGTGGAGGTGGCGCCTCGGTTGCGCAACGGTCGCGCGGCGCTTGGTTTTCGGTCCGCGACTGGACGACCGGTGGGGGGGGGGTCTCCATTTTCTTTTTAAAATAATTACATAAATAAATAAATAAATAAATAAATAAATGAACAAATAAATACATATTATATATCTATACACATACATATATATACATATGTATATATATATATATATATGTATATATATATATATATATACTACAGAGTTTTCTGGGGACACCCAGAAGTTAGGACCGAAAATGCCGATTTGAAAGCAACCATCAACGAGCAAAGAAGATCCCTTCGCAGTGGTGGGCGAGCGCTCCCAGATCCGTTGGTGGACATCCACCAGTCATTGAGGGTGTTTCATCTCTTAGAGCTCATAGCAATTCCAAGCTTCCGACCAGTTTGGTTTCGAGCGCACTTTGTTTTTATGGTTTGTTTGGGACACCAACGGAAAGACAGCCCAAGAGTTGGCCAGTTTCCCCCCTCCAAGTCTTAAGACAAAAAGTTCATGGCCAGCGCTTGATGGGACTGAGGTGGTTGGCTTGGCTCGCCTGAGTGGGGCCGCCAGCGATTTGCGGGTGGGGGGCCCAGGTTCGGCGGCTCGCGGCTTGGGGTGGGGTCCAGTCGAGTCTGTCTGCTTCGGTGAAAAGGAGCGGGTGCCGAGCAGGGCGCCGGCGGAAAGATTTTTTTTCACCCAGTGACAACCGTCAGCGTTTTTTGGCCCCGAAGGAGAGCATATAAGGAACCCGGAAAGGATGTGCTCTATACAGAAGGCGAGGCTTTTTTTTTCCCGGAAGGGGACTTGTGGACCACTGCCCAGGCCAGATTTGTGGGCTCGGCCCTGGGCCTGTCTCAAAATGGCTTCCCCCAAACCAAAAACTTGCTGGTTGCTCTTTACTTTCTTTATAAAGAAACCAACACACAGGAAGTCTCCCCCCAAGAACTGCCCGCCCACTGCCAGCTCCACCTGATACAGCAAAAAAGCACTCAACGTTGTCGCACCTCCAACATGTCACCCTTGTCACAGCGGGGTTTCCGACGGGTTTCCCACGCTTGCCATAGGGTTGCTACTGTATGCTTTTTCAGGTTCCCGCTTCCCCATGGGTTTCCCACGTGCTTGCCATCGGTTTTCCACGGCTTTCCTGCCAAGCTTCTTGCCTGCAAGGTTTCTTTCGGCTTTCCTGTTGGATTTCACGCAGGTTTTTGTCGCCAAAGTTTCCTTTTTGGGCTCCTGCGCGGGTTGCACCCTCCAAGTCCTCAGGACTCATCCCCATTGAGTTGTGGTTTGAAGAGAATTCAAACGAGGAAAGCAGACCCCTATGCGACCCCTATGGGGTTTCTTTTGCATCCCTTCAAGAAAAAGCCCCCCAACATCCAGGTTTTGAAGCCGATTATTGTGGGTGGCTGGTGCAGGTTCCAAAGCGGCACGGAGGTTCCGGGGCTGGGGACATTTTTTATTTTATTTTTTCTTGTCGCGCATGACCGTGGCTTGTCAACTTGTTGCGCTAGTCATGAACACAAGCAACTTTGAAAGAAAACAGAGGCTAGGACCCCCTAGAATGAGAAGCCTCGGAGAGCGGGGTTTCGGGGGCCTGTCCGAAGGGGTCTGTCCAAGCCATGTTTCGGTGGAAACCCCACAGAGCCAACAAAGCCTGGCTTCGAGGTGTACGGCTCGGATGTGGAGCCGCCCAGCTCCAACAACTACGAGCTGGAGGAGGAGTCTGGGGCGGGATCCGCTGAGGGAATCCAATCCCAAGGTTGGTGTGCTTATGGTTCCGTTGAGTCTTCAATGCAGTGAGGGTTCCGGACAAAAGACGAACATTCTCCTTCTTTTTATGGTACCTTCTTTGGGCAGAGGGGGTTTTCCAACGAAGAAACCACCTATCTCGTTTTTCCTTTCATGATTGTCCGCTATCCACTTCAAGCTGCAAGGTAGACTGTCGGAATTGGAACAGCTCCTTCGGGTTTGGTGCGAGCGTGCGTGCGTTTGTGCGCACGTGCGCAGGTGTGTCAAAATCAGGGACGCCTTTTGGCGCTTGGGGAGACATGGACATAGTATGTCTTTTTTCACTTGGGCAACATAGTTTTGGATTGGCTTTAGGCATGCGTATTGGGTCCATCTTGGACATCAGGTTCACCTATATACCTTTAACAGCTGACACGCATTCAATCCCTCATAATTTGGATTGGGGGAAGATGGTTTGAGCAACTGGACCAAACAGGCTCCCGTAGGGAATGCCAAAAGAGGATGTTTAAAAAGGAGACGCGCAAACAAGCATGTTTGTTGGAGGACGAGAGGACACTCTTTTTTGGGTTGGACTTTTATTGAATTAAAGGAACCTCGAGCCCCATTTTGAGGATCGATGCTCCATTTGGAGAGGCCCATTAAAAGCTTGTTGTTTTGGAGCAAACGGCGTTCTACGTATTGTTTTGTGTGGTGGCCGTTTTCACCGACCTCACATGGTTGACCGGTGGGAGGGAAATCCGGTTTCGTTCTTTTGTCGACCCTCCCTTTCTGAGGAGGGCGGGGAACTGTGCTACCGCCATGACCCCGACTTGGGCGCTCGCGCCAGTGGGGTTGCAGCTGTGCGCACGGCTTTGTTCCTGTCGGTGGAGGCGAACAATCCCGCAGCTTGTGCGCAGGTTGCGCAGCCGCTCCATGCAAACGAAAATTAGGCTTGTTCTTGAAGCGTCTGCTTTGCGCTGCTGTGAGGGGGCACCACTATGGCCAATTCCTTGAGGATGGAATAAGAATGTGATTGGATATCCAGATACTCAGGTGTCCCTACAATTTTTGGGGACTTGAAGCCCTGGTTCTTGTGGGGACTTGAGTGCTCCAAGCCACCGGCGAGGCGGATCAGCCCGCGAGCTTCCGGCTGAGGGTAACGCTGCGCAGGATCCAGGCGCGGGGGAGGCGAGCCGTGGTGTATTCGGCTGCCCTCCTTGTAAAGGGACCCCCTGGCAGGTTTCCATGTGAGCGGGAGGGAGTGTATTCGGCTTCTTTGTTTGTTTTTGGCCGCTTCTGGTCCTTCAGAGTTCTGGGCGTTGGATTTATTTGTTGATTTGTTTGTTGGCTGGTCTGGCTTGCTATTGCCAAAGCTCCTTTGCAAAGGAGAACCACACACACACACAGCAAGGCCATGAACAACACGACGACCTTCGATACAACGTTCCCTGCGACTCTCATTCACCCAATATCTCGCACCCACCCTTCGAAGGGTTCCCGGTGAAATTCTTGCAAATTGTTTGGGAGGTATTCACCCCCAAAAGTGATCCGGATTCCCTCTTAAATGAAACACCCCCTCGATCAAAATCAAGCAGGAGAATCGGAGCATGGTTGTGGAAAATAATTGGTTAGAGGGCCACAGAAACCTGTGCCACATTGGTTTCCCTGGTATCACAAGGTTATCCCGTATTTTCGCGGGGTTTTCTCCATTTCCCTTTTTGGAACCTCCAAGAGTGCATCGATAGTTTCAATGGACACCACCAAAACCAAAGGGATGAATTGTTTGATTCGGGGACATCCAGTGACCCCTTGCGAAAGTGAAGGATTCCCCGGAAAGCTGGAACCCCCCAGAAACATGGTTGTTGTTGGGACACATTTTACATGTTTGCTTATTGTGGTTTAGTGGTTGAAATCCCCACCTATCTGCTAAAATTCATATGAATTTCTGCTCCCCTTCCAACGTCAACCAAGTAAATGGCGCGGTTTCCAAGGGTTTCCCACGGGTTTCCACCCGGCTGCTCCGCCGGCCGTTGGGAGCCGCAGGACGCCCAGTACGGCAGCCTGCAGACCGCCTGCAAGCGCGTGGAGCAGAGGCTGGCGCTGCTGCGGGGGGATGCCATGCAGAAGCACCAGTTTGAGGAACGGCTCAAAGAGGCCAAGGACCCGGAAGCACCCAACACGTCTTTCTTCTTCTTTTCTTCTTCTTCTTTCTTCTTCTTTCTTCTTTTTTCCTCTTTTTGTAGTTATTTCTTTTTTCCGTCTTTGTTTGTTTCTTTCTTTTTTCCCCGCTGGCCATACGTCTTCTCCTCTTTCTTTTTGAGAGGGTGCTGTTTGTGTGTCTGTTCTTTTTTTTGAATAGGGTTGTTTATGTTTGTTGGATGTGACCATTCTCTGTCTTTTTCTTTTTTTTGTGCGAGGTGGCCATTGGGGTTGCGCTTCGAAGGGAAACCGGCTATATCGGAATATCTTGAGGGCGGGCGCGGCTCTTTTCTTGATTGCCTCTAGGGCCTTTTCTGTAGGACACCGAAGCGGGTCTCCACTTCCGTTTTACACACATCCCGCTACATGTCCCCTTGCGCTGGGAAATGCACGGAGCCCTCTTTTTTGTGTGTTTTTGTGGAACGCTTGGTGATTGGTCGTGCATTTCGCCAGAAGTGCTTAGCCACAAGCCAGGAGTTTACAAGAGTTCGCAGAGCTGACACAGTCACATGAGTCCAAGTCCTGAGCATTCCAAGGACATGGGATCCGTTTGGTACTTCTGCCTGTTTTGAGCATCACCGTTTGATTACCATGCGATGAGTGTCCCACGTTTTTTCAGAGGATTCTTTTAGGCACACAGCATTTCAAGCGGGAGAAGCTGCATGTGTTCTGTGTTTGGAAGAAAGCCCGAGCGAGCCAAAGCCCTGTTGCAACAGTGATTCAGGCAGGTAGGCAAACGACGAACGGAAACTTCCTGGGGATCATCATATGAAATGACAGAGTGTTGAATTCGGATTTCATCCTGCAGTACCAGCAATCTGAACCATTTTCCCAACATAAAACTCATTCCCCACTCTCTTGTCACCTTGTTTTTGGGGGGAGGGGGGGGGGAAAGCCCAGCCCGCCATGTTTTGTTGCCCGGTGTGGTCCGGCGAAGGAGCATCTGCACGGGAAGCCCACAGCCAAGAACTTCCGGAAGATCAACCGCGCGCGAGTGCAGGATTGGGAGGAGGGCGCGGCCAGGCGCCGGCACCTTTCGCGCTGGACATGAGGTTGACGTCGATGGCCTCATTTGTTTATGCTTGCTGTAGGGCCAGGCGAATTCTCAAACGGTTTCCACAAATAAACAGGAGACGAAACCTCGTCTCTCCCATGTCCTTTTTGCAGCTTCTTTAGATGGCAAGACGGTCTTAATTGAGGTCTCCTCCGATGTTGCTATGATTATGTTTTAAGGTTGACCAAAGTTAAATCCGAATCTGAGCAAATTGTTGGTTTACCCGGGCTTGGGGCAAGTACTATTGAAATCGTCTGATCCACCCCTTCTGGTTGAGACTGTCAAGCTGCGCTTACCCGGTATTTGAGAAGGTCTGTAGAGAAAAATCGGGGCGGGTGATCAAACCCGCAAACCGGTTCAGCTTAGCCGCTGGACTCACGAACCGTTTTTTTTTTTTTTTCTTTTTTCCTGGGGTCCTCAAAGGTCTACTCAATTGAAGGTGTGGCAACTCGGCCATTCTCCACAAGGGCTTCAAATCCCCAAGCGCCACTCCAAACCAATCCAAGCCGTTAAACATGTGCAAGGTTCCTTGAAATCCTTGATTGGCCCCATGTATCCTTCAACCCAAACCATGAGAACAGTTCAAACCAAACCAATCCAAACCCCAAATCCCGCAGCCGTGGGACTTGGAGCTCCACTCCAAAGCCAACGGGCCGCCCGGCTCAGCCCGCGCCCGCAGCAGGCACGCGCGGCTGGTGAAGCAGACGCTGCGCATGGGCCTGGCGGAGCAGCGAAGGGAGGCCCTGGAGGAAGAGCGCGAGGAGCGGATGGTGTGGTGGGTGGAGAAGCACCAGCTGCGCCTCGGCGACCCAAATCGGCCAGCCAGCGACCAGCCAGCCCCTCATAGTTGTTCTTCTTCTTTTTCTGGGGTGGTAAAAACCTGGGGAACCAAAAGGAAGACCAGCCAATTCAAAGGGCACCATATAAAAAAGACGCACTTTGCGGCCTCCTGGCGAAGCCTTGCATTGTCCTCGCAGCCGCTTGTTTGGACACCCGTCTTGAGCCGCGGGGAATGGTGGAGGCACTGGTACCTCGCGGTTGCAGTTGTGAAGGACCCACAGCTGTCTGTGCGCCAAACGGCGTGGCTGCGGGGCGGGAAAATCCAAGGTTGGGGAAGCGGTTGGAGATGTCTAGGATCCAAATTTCTAAAGACGGATGCGACCACTTCCCGGGCCGAGGCGAATTCTATCCTTCTCAACAGAACGTGGATGCCCTGTATTGTTATATTGTTATGGCCTTCCTTATAAGAGGTAGCCATTTATCAGGCTCTTCCGGGACCGAACCCTCGTGCGGATTCCGCACCCGATATCCATTGCCACGGCTAGCCAAGACGAACCTCTGTATTTGAACACCACCCTCCTGCAAAGCCAGGTTTCGCCCCAGCTGGGAATTACTTGATCGATTATCAGGTTCAAATGGCCATTCGCGGTTTTGCCGTGTAACGTAAGCTGACACGCGTTTCTCAGGGTGCGCGTTTTGACAGGTAAGGGAAACTGACAATCCCAAGTTGCCTCAGCTCAGCCGTTCTGCCCTGGCATTTCGAACTTTTCAATTTGGAAAACGGGGGTCTGGGAACAATGGCTGGGGGGTCTTCTCAAAGAAGACATACAGAAGTACCATGATCGATGTTTCCGTGCTTCCTCCTGGTTCTGCGGGGCTCGAAGGAAACGGGGTGTCTTGTCGTTTTGGTTTTCCTCAGCTGAGGCGGAAGTTCGAGAAAGAGGAGCAAGAGAGGCTCAGGCACGAGGCCTTCTTGATGCGCCCTGGCGGCGTGAAGGGCTGGAAGATTCCAACGGTGGCTCGTCTTGTTTTGAGGGTCACACATCTTGTGTGAGCTTTAAAACGCCAGCCAACCGCAAAACCTCATTTGTTCTTGGGTCCCCTAAGATTCGACACCCGTGTCGACCCTGTTTCTCCACAATGTGACGGAGTCCCTCTTACATGGAATCGACATGGAAACCGAGGGATGGACGAGTTCTGGGCCACCAAGATGAGTACTTGCTCCGTTTGGCTGGGATGTGGCATGCGCCACTAAGCACCCTTCGAACACCACGGAGGACTTACCGAGTTTCCATATCCATTGGGGCACATGGCATGGTTTCAGGATTCTAGGCTTTTCTTGGTGATACTTGGGAGCGCCACCAGTTGGTTGCCATTTCTTTTCCTTTTTGTTGCCGGTGGGGTCCAGGGAGGGTCCCGAAGTCGGAGCCTCCCAGATCCCAGCTTGGAAGTTGCTTTGGCTTCCGTCTCTCGGAAAGATGCCCTGGGGCCGGCGTGAGTGTTGCTGCCCTTGGTTCGCCGGGAAAGGCACTTGGACGATCAGACCAGTCAACCAATCAAGTCCATTTGGGCTTTGCCACACGTCTGCCTTACGCATCCATGCCATGTGTGTTGTCGATTTGATCAAACTGTTCCTGCCGAGGGAAGAAAGGCGAGCTGAGTGGATGGCAAAGCTGCTGCTGGTCAGCTTCACTGTGCGCCTTTTTACCAAGGAGTCTTAGCTTGAGACAGAAAGCTTTGCAGCGAGCTTTTTGGCCTGCTGAACATGACACTCCTGTTGCTGCAGTCTCAAAGCCAGCGCTTTTTCGACCTTTGCTTTTTGGCATCTTCAGCTTTCGATTGGTGTGATGGCAAAGACACCGCCAGAAGTCATTTTGCAGGTTAGCGCGCCGTTGCTCGCAGGTTGGGCCAAGCCGCAGGGTGAAATGGTTCAGGCTCCGCCCAAAGGAGGCTGATATGATGGGTCAAAATTAAGCTACCAGGAATTGGACCGCAAGCCATTTGCGGGTTACCCCATTGTTGACAACCGCAGCCATTTGCAAGCCACGTGCTTGCTGAGGTAAAGGGCCAGCAGAAGTTTCGAGAGGCCGCGAAGAAGGAAGCTCTTGCGTGCCTCAAGATCCAGCTCTGGGTGAGACGCCTCTCGCCCGAAGGTAGTTTTCCTTTTTCGTGAGTTGGTACTCTGGAGGACCAGGGCTTCCCGAGCCATGCAGACCGGGTGTTGCTTAAGGGAACCCCTTTCTAGTTGGTGTTGAAAGGGAAGCCAAACAGGAAACCAAGGTTTTGTGGGGGGGTTCTGCTTCCTATTTTTCGAGACACACCCCACTGCGCAATTTCGCATCTCAAGCCCGTGAGCTCAGGAAACCTCAGCCGCTTTCGCCGGCGGAAGCTGTACTCCAATGTCCTGAAGCGGGCTCCAATCGATCGCGTCGAACCCCGCGTCGGTTCGAGCCGCAGCGAGCTATTGATTTCTGCCGCCTCGATCTCCGGAAGTTCGGGAAGAGACAAATAGAAGTGTCTAGAGCCCTTGGCCCTAAGAAGATACCAGGATACCTTTCCGGGGCAAGGGGGGCTTTGCTTTTCTCAGGAAGGAATCCAGTGGATTAAAGAGGCCTTCATCCGGGTGGTGTCCCCGTTTCAGCAGATCCGGGGCGGAGCAACATCATCAAGCTGCTTGGAATACCTCTAAGATGAACAAACCACCGACAGCAAAACCATTCCTGACTAGCATGGGTCTGCTGATTCATGGTGTGGATGGACAAACTCCTGCACCAAGTTGGGATGGACACCCTATGAGCACTATTTGCCACAGCACCACTCCCAACTGTTGCGTGGCGTGAATGTCGGATTTTGTCCATTCACAGCTGAGAATCATCCGGGCGTGTGTTTTCTCGAAATTACTTATTTCAGCTTGGTTTAAGGGAAACCAAAAGGACACCTACCCTTCCTCCAACTAACATGGCAAATGTGGGGAGGTACCTGGAAGATTTATTTGCTTTTGAAGGGGGCCGCTGTCAGTTGCCATGTTAGTTGGAGGGAGGGTACCCATTTTTTGGGTCTCCTACTTGACTCATACCCCTCCACCCAGCTCTCGTGCTCTCTGTTTGGGCCAGGATGCGGCTGGCCGTCACCAGCTCTGTCCGTCAAGCCAAGATGGGCGCAAAGTTCATCGGCCATGACAGGCACGTCACGTTGGTGGGATAATATTTTATTGTAATGCATGGAATTGTATTGTATTGTGTTGTTGTATTGTATCATCTTAAATTGTTTTGTATTGTATTGTCTTGTGTTGTTGTGCTGTGTTGTGTTGTATTGTGGTGTATTGTGAATGTAATTGTATTTGTTCTTACTATTGTATTGTATTGTATTGCATTGAACCGTACTATATATCCTGTTGCATCACATTACATTGCATTCCAGTACATTCCATTACATTACATTTTTTAAATATAAATTTAAATATATACATATATATATACATATATATATACACATATATATATATATATATATGTGCATGATGATTTTTCAATTATCATTAAGTCTATGTACATGTATGTATAGTTAAAGCCACGCAATATGTTGTTAGCTTTTACTCGATTTTACCACACTAATATTGTTACTTACTTGAATATTAGTGTCAGTATATGTATGTATTCGCATCAATAGTGATAGTATCTTATCTTATCTTGCCTTGTATTACATGATTTTGAATTTTTGCTTTGAATATTAACAGACACAACACACTTATATAGGGGTGAACAGGGATTCAATGATCGCTTCAATGATCAGCTTCCTACAGTTGGGTAAGGTCACAGACCTGCGATACTTTGCCACTTGGGTATCACAAAAAGGGTGAGTTGTCCACAAACATAATCAATTGGGCTGGAGTTGGGAGTACAATATAATATCATATACTATAATATAATGTACTATCCAATGGCATTCTATTATATCATACAATATTATAATATAATATACTGTTATAATATAATATAATCGAATATGCGACACTGTGATACATGCAACCATATATATATATATGTATACATACACACACACACATTCCAGTCTTACCATTATTAGTAATGGTGAATTACCTTTAAACTAGAATATATCTCGCCATACATGCATATGTATGCTCATATTACATTATGTTGTGTGGTGATATATGTGTACTGTATTATGTTATATTGTCTTATGCTATAATATATTATGATTTGTCATCTTATGCTATTATATTATAATGTTAACTATTTATATATACACACTATTCTATATATCTGTATATATGCACATGCAGAGAACCCCCTTGCTCGTTTTGGGTGAAAAATCCCGGCACGGCACCGTCGGCACAGCCTATGAATGTCAAATGGTGGGTGGATGCTTCTTCAGAGTCCACCAAAAGGAACCCTGAGGACAAGTCACGCCGGTATCATCTTTCATGGCCATGCCACCTGCAGCCAAGAAGCCGACCGACCATCGGGTGCTCAGCTTCTCGGCGTGTTCCGGCTTTGTTTGGGGGGGGTTTTGTTCAGGGCGCTCTGGTTCCTGAACGTGCACCTGTGCTCGCAAGAGAACTTGTCCTTCGCCGACTTGGTGAAGAAGTACGTGGCGGCGGTGCGGCGCGTTCAGCGGGCCTTTCGCCGGAACCTGACGATTCGGAGGGCGCACGTGGAGGTGCTGATGGCCCACTTCACCGCGGAGCACCTGGTCAAGGCCGGGGAGGCTAAAGATGTCCAAGGGATGAATGAGGTGTGTCGTGGTTTTGGGGAACCACCCCCCGCAAAAAAAGATGTGGTTTTCCTTTTGGTGTCCCTTGAAACCAACTCAAAACGGCTAGCCTCAACAAAAGACAGGCCCGATTTTCACCCCTAGTTGACTCTTTGCCGATCTTGGGGGGATTCGGCACGGTGGTCGATATTACCCCAGCCTGTTGGGGGATATGATGTTGAGCCCTGCCCAAAAGGATGGTACTTAGCCTGAAAACAGTGTTGTTGTTTTTCTTTCCAGCCGATGCTTGAACAAAGTGGGTGTTTGGAGGTTTTCTGTTTATCCAATTGTTGGTGTCAAAGAGTTCCTTATATACGCAGCAAGTGAACGAACCACATCAAGCAACAAATGCCTTCACAGGGCCACCTTTCGTGTGGAAAAAGGCTAGTTCTTTGAGGTTGGTTGGCTGGTTGCCTGGGGAGTTGCTTGAGTGCTTGGTTGGCCTATTGCTTGAATGTTGTTGAAGAGACCAGCAAAATCTTTGTGTTCAGCAAGCCCAGATTGAAGATGGCACAATTTGTGATTGCCCCTAGCCCTACTTCAAAAGGAAATGTTTACAACAAATTGTTGAACAAACAGGTCTTCGCGGTATTCTTTTCCGAAGTCACTAGTTCTGCTGGGAAGTCTGTGCTTGACTGCAGATCCCTCGATCATAGGGCTCGCATCCTCCCACAGATGTGCGTTCGCTGTGCCAAGTGGCTTGCAAAAAGTCATACTGACCACCTTGAAGATTGCCATACATCACAAGACTTCATATTATTCGCAGTTGGATTTACAAAGCGCCGCCCTTGTTTTCGTCTCTGATGAACCCTGTGCTCCGGTCTAAAAACTGGTTTCCCCTTGCCTCCCGGTTTCCGCTTGGCTTCCGGTTTCCCCTTGGCTTCCGAAACGGGCAACAAGAACAAACTCGGCCTCCGACACGTTGTCCGGTTGTCCCCAAGCCAACGCAGATGCCCGCCCAAAAGACCAACTATGCTAGGACTTGGCCCGAAGGCGGCCAAACGTATGCTCTGCCAAGCGATCGTTGTCCCTTAACCCCCCTACCCCCCCAAAAAAAAAACACAAAAAGAAAGAAGAGAAAGAAAACAGTCAGTAAAAAGAAACAAAGCTTACTCAAGCTCCCAAGAAAAGATGGCTTGCCTGGGGTCTTTTGTTGAAGTGCTCCCCAAAAACGGAACCAGCTCCAGCAAACAGGATGCTTCTTGCTTTCTTTCTTTCTTTCTTTCTTGCTTTCTTCTTTTTTTGTCACCTTTCCCCAGAGCGCTTCTTGGCTCCCCCGTTTTCTCCCCCCTTCGCCTTGCCCGACCCGGGAACGACTCCCCAGCTCCCCTGCCCTCGCGAGGCGGAGCTGGCGAAGCTGCTGAAGATGGCGCTGCGGGAGCCCAAGCCGCCGGAGAAGCCCAAGGAGCTGAAGGAGAAGGAGAAGCCCAAGCGAGGCGGGCGAGCTCCGGGAAGGGGCGGGAAGGGGCGGGAAGGGGGGGGGGAGGGGGGAAGGGAAGCGGGGGGGGGGGAAGGGGGGGATTCGGGGGTGCTCCGGCGTTTTTGAAGGGTGGGGGCGGGGGGTTTGCTTGGTGGTCCGGGGGGGTGGGGGGGATGGGGGTGGTGTGTGTGTGTGTGTGGTTGGTGAGGAGCTGGTGGCGGAGGTGGTTGGCATGGGAATGGCGAGGTTGTTGCTTTACCTTGTGAAGCACAAAAGTCACAAAAGGCTCAAGCAATCTCTATGTAAGTGTCCAGAGTGGGGAATCCAGAGACAGGAGGAATTTTCAAGACTGCTGCCTTTGAACAGTCCTCCGAGCCTGTCATCTCTGTCGGGCTGAGGAAAGAAGACACCAGTCTTTGATCTAACTTGAATCCGGCTAATCATCTTTCGGTCTTCCAGCGAACAGTGAAAATACTCTCAAATGGTTGACACCCCTACTCAACCGACGGAGCATTCAGAGGAGCCACCCAGCCCAAACCCAGCAATGAATCGGTGTGTCTCATGGGCATGGGTCGATGGCAACGGTTTCTCTTTGGTTCCCTGGCAAAGGTTTGCTTTAGCTTCCTTGGTTGATCCATGACAACGGTTTCCTACATGGTTGTGCAAAAACTGTTTCCTTTGGTTCCCCTACTGCCGATTTTGAGGACCTGTTCCATTTGGGCGTGGGGATCTCCAAGAATGGTGGTCCTTTTGGCTTCCCTTAAAAACCAACCAACAGCAGGGTTTCCTCCATTTCCCTTCGTTGAAACCTCCAAAGTTGGATCGATCGTTTCACACCAATCAATTCCTCAACTTCCTGATTTGGGGAACTCCAGTGACCCCTGAACCACATCTTTTTCCAACTCCAACCGCACAAATGCCCAAAAAGACGAGCGCCAGACAAAAAAACACCCCCCCCCCCCCCCAAAAAAAAAAAGAAGGAGAAAAGAAAACCGACCGCCACCCAGTTGGAGCCTCCTCACTCCGTGGGTTTTTCCCGCCAGGTGACCGGAAGGCCGCCTCCGCCCCGAAGGCCTCCGCGAAGGCGAGCGCCGCGGCGAATGCGGCGGCCAATGCGGCGGCGACTGCGGCGCCGTCGTTCCGGCTGCGGCGGCGGAACGCGGTGGTGGTGGACCCCTCCAAGCTGATCCCGGACCTGGCCGCCGGCTGGGTGAAGGAGCCGAGCCAAGAGGGAAGGAGGGGGACCAGGTGGAGGCGGTGTGCGTGTTTTTTTTTCTCCGTTTGACCCCCCTTTTGGAAAAGAGAGGCCGGTTGTTCATGTTGGTTCGGAGGGTCTTTCCCCAGAAAGAAGCTCTGGGATCTTGGGAGCAGGTTCCTAGAGTTCTCAAAAGACGGAGAGGGTTTTAGGGGCTTCCTTTGCTTTAGCCATCAAAAAGGGTGCGCTATGTGTTGCCAAGAGTCACGACCGTTTTTGATATCTTTTCTTGGAAAGAGGGTAAGAACCAGCCCAGTGTGCCCATACGTGGCAAAGAGGATTCAGTAGGCAAGGTTTGGGAGATGGGATCAAAGGGTCAAGCTGGTGTGTCCAGTTTTGTTTGGGAATCCTTTGGCTTTTTCTTCGGGGTTCTCGGGCCTCCAAGAAATGCTTCCAGGAGTACAAGATGGGGAAGGAGGTGATTCCACATTACATCCGCTCCTACGTCGTCCAGAAACATGTGAGGGCACCTCGGCGGTTTGGTTCGCGTGTGTCCAGCGGGGAGTCGGACATTTCGAGTCCAGGCAGATGGCCCTGCAAGGGGCTTATGAATGGGCTTAGCTTGACTGCTATTGGGCAACGGATCTTTAGACTTTAACGTTTTGGGGAAATAATGGTGTTTTCCAAAAGTGAAACTTTTTGCAGGGGGATCAACAGCAACAAAGTAAGGAGATGCATCAATCGTATTGCCAAAGATATGCTGACTGGCAGCGGAGAAAGCAAGAGCTCGCCGTAGACATCGACCTCAACAAGATGACTGGGGTGGGGGATACTGACAAGCTCCGCGAGATTGAGGTGGTGCCCATGTCACTTGGCGCCAAGCTATCCGCTTTTTGGAGGCTAGCAAAAGCCAGACCCAAGAAACCACAGGCCCCAGGAAAACAAGAAACACCCCTACTCTTTTGCCCAGACCTCCAAGGGCGTTGTCCCTTTTGTCCCATTTGGAGGGGTTCCCCGTGTGTTGTCGGCGAGTGAAGGTTTGGGTTTCAACTCATCATTTCGACCATCCCCCCCCCATGCGGCTGCCTCGTCTTTCCCTTCTTTTGGAGTTGGTGCCAACCTTTGTTTTTTTTTGGGGGGGGGGTTTCAAAGGGCAACCCACTTCGGGGGCCCAAATCCGAAAAACAGACACCCCCAGCCGCGAGAAGCCAGAGCTCAACGGGGGGGTCACGAGCCGACTCGACTCGACTCGGCGGCCCAGGAAGGTGGAGGTGAGCCGGATCCGCGACCTGCCGCCTGCCTGGAATGGCGGGATGTGTTGGAAATTGGGCCTGGGTTCTGAACCACGGAAACGAGCCAGTAGACCCGATTCCCAGTTCTTTAAGACACTTTTCTCTTTTCAGCATGATAATAATAACACTAATGATAGTGATGATGATATCAACAATAACAACAATAATAATAACAAGAATAACAACAATAACAATAATATTAATAACAGTAGTAACAATAATACTAATAACAATAATAACAATAGCAATAGCCATAAACATTAAAATAGTAAAAATAGTAATAATACTAGTAATAATAATATTAGTAATAATCATAATAGTAATGATAATAATAATAGATAACTATGATAATAAATCAGGCCAACAAAGGTTCGCCGGCAAACACATCCACATTTGACTATGGTCAATGTGTGGTTCGGGATAGAATTTTCACCACCCAAGTTGCAGCGGAATCTATGGGCAGCTCTGAAGGTATGATGAGACCTACAACACCTACATCAAGAATGGCTTCAAGTCTCTAACTCACAGCGTCCGCCGACAGTGGAGGAAGGCCATGCTGGTCATGTGTTTTTTTTTCTTCTTTTTCTTTTTTTTGCGCGTTTTCAGTTGCCTTTTCGGGAAGTGCTCCCAACTCACAACTGCATTTGTGTTGCTCGCTCTTGCATAGGTGTCCTTGCAACAAGTGCCATCTATTTTCAACCAAGCTGACCCAAAAAGGCCACCTATGTAGTGTTGCGACTTGCCTGCTTTCTTTCTCGGCCGGGCGTCCCCCTTTCCACGTTTTGCTCAAGGCCTGATGACCTATATTGCGTGTACTGAATAGACATGGCCATGTGAGTTGTGGAGTTGTAGGCTCCCATTTGGTGTGCTGCACAGTGTAATGACATCTTTTGGTCGGGTGGGTGCAGGTGCTGCATGGATGGCGGCGAGTGGCGATGTGGGGACTTTTCCACGACGAGCAAGCAACTTGGGCTTCAGCTCCCTCCCCCCCCTCCCCCTTACCCAAAGGGCCTCCCGGAATCGCCTCTATGCCCGCTTCACGGTCCCAAAGCAGAAAGCTATGAAGAATGAAACAATTTTAAGTTATCCAATGCGCACTGACTTGTGACCTGGACCAAAGGTTCTTGTCTCAAGTTTCGAGCCTTATCTAGGCGCTTTGGTGCAGAGAGGAGGGCCTTTAATTTTTGGGCTTCTGGTAAAGCACACTGCTTGCGCTGTTGGAACAACAGGGCAAGTAGCCGCCAAAGCCAAGGATGACGTCGGACCTCATGCTCTTCTTGCTTGGGGTCGGGACCGGGCGTGTTGGCCAGATCCAGCATGACGGCAAGCCAGTGGGTGTGTTGACACCCAGATCCTGGCAAACCTTCCACCAATCTGCGTCTTTTTCGACGGATTTCGCGAGCATCACGTAAGGGGGCGCAAAAAATCATTGGTCTTTTTGGGGAACGGTGCCAACCCAAACCGGTCCTGTGGTCTCAGTCGGACCGTCCCTCGGTTTGAGTGGGCTTCAGGGGTTTTAGGTTTCTGGTTTCAGTTCGGTTGAACATGGATGACAGCTGCTCTCGGTTTCAGAGAGAGCTCCAATCTTTTGAAGCAATCCATGTATTTGTTTCCTTTCAAAAAAGGACACCTTAGGCAACGATCCCTGCGTCGGACTCTACAAATTTTCACACGGTCCATTTAGGCACGTGGCTTCTTGACCTGCAACTGGGGGATTCGCCCCGGCTCCAGATGGAACGGTTTCTCCCTTTTGGACACTCTCCTTGTCCCAAGGTGGGCGTCCGTTTGCTTTCTGACACCTCTCGCATCATTTCTTGGAGCCAAGTGTCAGGTGTGGCCTGTCCTTCTCCCTCCATGTTCCCTCTTCCCTCTTGCGCCCAACCCATCGCCCCCCTTTTGGAGTTCTTTCAATCCAGGAGAGTGTGGGCCCGGCGCTGGGGAGCGCTTCCAGCCCCGTGCACCTTGGTTTCTGCGGCTGGGGTGGGGAGTGGTGGAGTGGGGTGGGGTGGGGGTCCAACTCAGAGGCTCCGTTCCTGACATTTGGAGATCAGTGTCTTGCCTTCCCGGAAAAGCATCTGCAACATGGTGTGGTTCGTGCCCTCCTTTCTTGGTGAAAGCACCTCAAAACAAGGATAGATCCGTGGACGATTTGCAAACGAAAGTGCTTTGCCCGCCCACGGATAGGTGGACTTTTGTCCCTTGCCACAAACGGGATCAGCTGCGCTTTCGCTTTGGTTCTCGGATTTTTTTCCGGCTCCAAGGTTCTGATTTTGACTGAAGCAGTCGGCAGTCGGCACGCGTGGGTGGCGCAGACTTGGGGAGCAAACGGTCGCCCGCATCGAAGCCTCCGAGGCAAAGACTGCGGGCCAAATCGCCCGGCCCGCCTCCCTCGGCGCCGCTTGGCTCGCGTCTGGCGCGGCAAAAGCGCGTGCCGGGGGGTGTGTGGGGTGGGGGTGTGGATCTAACCGAGCCCGTTTCCATGAGCAAGATGGGGTGAGGTGTTCTTTTTTCCTTTTTTCCTCAGTGCACGGGCCCTTTGAAGTGAACAAAAAGAGAAGGCAACCCTCGTGCTTTCAATTCCAACGGTCCGGGAGCTGCACCCCCAAGGCAACGCTGGCCTTGAGGAGTCAGCTACGCGAGCGGCCTGGGGGACTGCTGACCGAGTTGGTTCCCAAAGATGGCCTTCGGGCCTGGCCAAAACCGGTTTGAGATCGCGGCCAAAAGTGGCCCCGAGCTTTTAGGGAAGCACCCAGATTTGGAGCTGGCGACCAAAAGTGGTTGCCTCTCTTATGTAGGGTCTCTCCGCGGGCACAACACGTGCTGCGGATGCCAGATGCGGACGCCAGGTCCAAATAGCCCTTGCAGCATGGCAGCCAAGCATGCAGGGGAAAGAGTGGCTCCGCCAAGGGTTCCGTTGAAGATGTTTTTTTGTTTCTTCTTTTTTTTCTCCGTGGCAGGCGGTGTTTTGTCCAACTGGGTTTGCCTCCAAGACGTTCAACACAATCGTAAGACGTTCAACAAAATCGTCCCCCCGCCCTGACGCCCCTTGGACCAACCCAACAAGGGCTACCCTGTCCACGTCGCCATGGAACCCACCCTGGCCTTTTTTGTTTTTGTTTTTGTTTTTTTTTTCCCCAAAAAAACACAGTAAAAGCAAGCAAGAGCATGGTTTGGACGTCTCAGGTTGCGCGTGGGGGGGAGCAACCTAGGCGCCAGCTGGCCAAGGAGGAGCTGCCCGGCCCGGGCCCCAGGGCCCCTGGGGGAGTCGTTTCTGGGTGTCTTAGCCTCCCGAACGCGGAAGCAGGGAGTCCCGTTAGAAGGAACATAGTCCAAACCAATCCCCCCGAAACGTCAGGTTCAACGTGAATTGGCGGGTGTCTCAAGTTGAGGGACGCCTCGAAATGGGCCTTGAGTCTTGAGCCAGCAAAGTGCCCGCAACAAAAATGGACACTGACTTCTCATCCAAGCATCACTCCGTCAAAGGGGAACTCGCTCTTAATTGGCCCGGCAAGTGAGGCTTAAACTATTGTGGGGACAAAAGGAACACCCGCTTTTTGCGGGCAGATGCATACATGTGTACATTGACATATATATATATACAAATACATGCACACATTCACGATTTTGTGGGTGAACATGTATATTCACACACCTCCCTCACTCCCAAGCTCGGCAGGCCTGGCAGTTCATTTTACCCCAAACACTAAGACGATGGTCGTATCTATGATATCAAAGCCACTTGTGCCACGGTCACATCACTCTTTGGGGTGGCTGCAAGTCGTTCAGCCTAACTTCAGATGGCCAATGTAAGGATTGGTCAACGAAGCCATGACGACTTCAGGATTTCGACCATCCCCCGGTTTAGTTGCATTTGGTTTCGGCGGCGGAGTTTTCTGTGGGGTATTGCCATTCCCCGAGTAACAGGGGACCGACTCGGTTGCTTTTTGGCACAATCTTCAAACTTCGCTTTTGCCGAAATGACAGTTTCGCACTAACCCGCACACGATTGACAATCTCTTGGGGTTTACTCGGAACGCACGAAACAAACTCAAGACCAAGCTGTTCCATCCAACCTGCCACCACGGCTGCACAGTTTTGGTTTTCGTGTTTTTCAGCAAAATGTTCCAAGGACGATCGATCCATGAAATCCCGTTGCTCTCCCATTTCCCTTGCCAGAGGCTCGGAAAGGACAGATCTCCAGATTCCGGGGTCTGTCTTCCCCAAAGTGCACGATCCGTTGGATGCCAAGTTTGGGCCAGTTCTGTGACAAATAGGGTACTGTACCCGCAGAATGGGTTGCGTCCTGCGGGGATTCAACCTGCGGTCCACACAGTGACGAATTTTGACCCACACCCACATGCGGGTCAAAACCCTAACCTCAGGGCCAAACGACGGGGGTCACCACTAAGTCGGGATCACCGGCTCGCGTTCGCCTAGGTTCGTGGTACCCCCCCCCCTTCGGCTAACCCTTCGTGGCTGTTTGGCTCAAGTGGCCTATATTTATAATATACATGTATACTATATTGTATGCTTATATACATACTATACTAATATATATAATAACCTATATTATATTATATATATATATATGGTATACAGTGACAATCTATTGAGGTTGGTTAAGAATCCGGTTCCCAGCAGTAGACAAGCTGCTGCGGCCGCCCTGGGCCTTGGCCAGAGCCTCAGCGGCCTCCACTAATGATTGTCATGCCTTACCAGGCTGATCGTGTGTGTGTGTGTGTGTGTGCGTGTGTGTGTGTGTGTGTGTGTGTGTGTCTGTGCGTGCACGTGCGCGTGTGCGTGTGTGTCTGTGTGTGTGTGTGTGGTGCGTGTGTGGGCGCGCAGTGTATGTGTGGGTGTGTGTGTGTGTGTGGGTTTACGTGGTCATGTGACTCAATGTCTGACAATGCCGCATGTGTGTGGTAGTGTGAATGGTTGCCTGTCTGTGGGTGCCTGTGAATCTGCATGTTGATGTAAATTAACATCCAAATATAGCAAGCTCAAGGGGCACATTTTTACGAATTTTCGGGCCAATGCTAGACACCGTTTCTTGCCCCAGGAACGAACATGTACTGCAAAGATCTGCATGTTACTCTGCTTGCCACGTTGACATGACCAGTGCCACTTTGACCAAGCCATTTTTTGTCCAGTTGGGCCTTGAGGCCAGCAGGGTCTGTAAGACCCTGCTGGCTTTGAGGCTGGCTGGGTTGCTTGTCCAGTTGGGCCTCGAGGCCAGCAGGGTCTGTAAGACCCTGCTGGCTTTGAGGCTGGCTGGGTTGCTTGTCCCTCAGTTGGGCCTTGAGGCCAGCCGGGTCTACAGACCTTGCTGGCTTTGAGGCTGGCTGGGTTGCTTGTCCAGTTGGGCCTCGAGGCCAGCAGGGTCTGCAAGACCCTGCTGGCTTTGAGGCTGGCTGGGTTGCTTGTCCAGTTGGGCCTCGAGGCCAGCAGGGTCTGTAAGACCCTGCTGGCTTCGAGGCTGGCTGGGTTGCTTTTCAGTTGGGCCTCGAGGCCAGCGGGGTCTGTAAGACCCTGCTGGCTTTGAGGCTGGCTGGGTTGCTTGTCCAGTTGGGCCTCGAGGCCAGCAGGGTCTAAAGACCCTGCTGGCTTTGAGGCTGGCTGGGTTGCTTGTCCAGTTGGGCCTCGAGGCCAGCAGGGTCTGTAAGACCCTGCTGGCTTTGAGGCTGGCTGGGTTGCTTGTCCAGTTGATGGGCCTCGAGGCCAGCAGGGTCTGTAAGACCCTGCTGGCTTTGAGGCTGGCTGGGTTGCCAGTTGGGCCTTGAGGCAGCGGGGTCTAAAGACCTTGCTGGCTTTGAGGCTGGCTGGGTTGCTTGTCCAGTTGGGCCTCGAGGCCAGCAGGGTCTGCAAGACCCTGCTGGCTTTGAGGCTGGCTGGGTTGCTTGTCCAGTCGAGGCCAGCAGGGTCTGTAAGACCCTGCTGGCTTTGAGGCTGGCTGGGTTGCTTGTCCCTCAGTTGGGCCTTGAGGCCAGCCGGGTCTACAGACCTTGCTGGCTTTGAGGCTGGCTGGGTTGCTTGTCCAGTTGGGCCTCGAGGCCAGCAGGGTCTGTAAGACCCTGCTGGCTTTGAGGCTGGCTGGGTTGCTTGTCCAGTTGGCCTCGAGCCAGCGGGGTCTGTAAGATCCTGCTGGCTGTGAGGCTGGCTGAGTTGCTTGTCCAGTTCGGCCTTGAGGCCAGCGGGGTCTAAACACCCTGCTGGCTTTGAGGCTGGCTGGGTTGCTTGTCCAGTTGGGCCTCGAGGCCAGGGTCTGTAAGACCTGCTGGCTTCGAGGCTGGCTGGGTTGCTTGTCCAGTTGGGCCTCGAGGCCAGCAGGGTCTTACACCCTGCTGGCTTTGAGGCTGGCTGGGTTGCTGGTCCAGTTGGGCTCGAGGCCAGCAGGGTCTGTAAGACCCTGCTGGCTCTGAGGCTGGCTGGGTTGCTTGTCCAGTTGGGCCTCGAGGCCAGCAGGGTCTGTAAGACCCTGCTGGCTTTGAGGCTGGCTGGGTTGCTTGTCCAGTTGGGCCTCGAGGCCAGCAGGGTCTAAGACCCTGCTGGCTTTGAGGCTGGCTGGGTTGCTTGTCCAGTTGGGCCTCGAGGCCAGCAGGGTCTGTAAGACCCTGCTGGCTTTGAGGCTGGCTGGGTTGCTTGTCATCCAGTTGGGCCTTGAGGCCAGCGGGGTCTAAAGACCTTGCTGGCTTTGAGGCTGGCTGGGTTGCTTGTCCAGTTGGGCCTCGAGGCCAGCAGGGTCTGCAAGACCCTGCTGGCTTTGAGGCTGGCTGGGTTGCTTGTCCAGTTGGGCCTCGAGGCCAGCAGGGTCTGTAAGACCCTGCTGGCTTTGAGGCTGGCTGGGTTGCTTGTCCAGTTGGGCCTCGAGGCCAGCAGGGTCTGTAAGACCCTGCTGGCTTTGAGGCTGGCTGGGTTGCTTGTCCAGTTGGGCCTCGAGGCCAGCGGGTCTGTAAGACCTGCTGGCTGTGAGCTTTGAGGCTGGCAGCGGTCGTTGCTGGCTTTGAGAGGGGGCTTGTCCAGTTGGGCTCTGTAAGACCCTGCTGGCTTTGAGGCTGGCTGAGTTGCTTGTCCAGTTGGGCCTCGAGGCCAGCAGGGTCTTACACCTTGCTGGCTTTGAGGCTGGCTGGGTTGCTTGTCCAGTTGGGCCTCGAGGCCAGCAGGGTCTGTAAGACCCTGCTGGCTCTGAGGCTGGCTGGGTTGCTTGTCCAGTTGGGCCTCGAGGCCAGCAGGGTCTGTAAGACCCTGCTGGCTTTGAGGCTGGCTGGGTTGCTTGTCATCCAGTTGGGCCTCGAGGCCAGCAGGGTGGGTTGCTTGGCCAGTTGGGCCTCGAGGCGAGCAGGGTCGGTAAGACCCTGCTGGCTTCGAGGCTGGCTGGGTTGCTTGTCCAGTTGGGCCTCGAGGCCAGCAGGGTCTGTAAGACCCTGCTGGCTTTGAGGCTGGCTGGGTTGCTTGTCCAGTTGGGCCTCGAGGCCAGCAGGGTCTGTAAGACCCTGCTGGCTTTGAGGCTGGCTGGGTTGCTTGGCCAGTTGGGCCTCGAGGCCAGCGGGGTCTGTAAGACCCTGCTGGCTTTGAGGCTGGCTGGGTTGCTTGTCCAGTTGGGCCTCGAGGCCAGCGGGGTCTGTA